ACCCTGACTTTGCTGCCGATCATACCTTAAAAGGGTGCCTGGTGTCCAGCCCTCTTAAACCGAAGCCTTCTCGAATACGGTGCAAGAAATTATTGTCCGTGTTCTCAGCGGGAACTTTCTGTATAAGTTTCGCCCATTCCTCCCTCTCTTATCCAGTGGGGATAGTTGGCTGCCTCCGGGCACACAGGTGAAGATTCGGGTCGACCTCCCCAAAAGGCGATCTCAGTCGCAACATGATCATTTCTAACACAGGGGTCGGTGCGGACAATGCAGACGCTACCGGCAGAATACGTATACATCTGCTGGAGCTCGACTTTGTCTACCCACCTATTGCATGAAAAAAGACTACAGCCACCAGGTCTCGATCGCTAAGGAGCTGTATTTCCACACCTTGTGCCCCAGGGTATTTCAGAAGTCTTTGAACGATGACGCTGGCATTCTCGCGCTCCTAAACAATGCCTCGATCCCCAGGAAGATGATTCTCTTCTTCAACGACTCGAGGCTCGGAGACGCACCAGGACTTAATCCAAATGCCGCCGCCGACTCCAGTAACAGATTAGCTATGATCCACGCCAACTTAAGCCAGCTCTGCATCATCGTGAACGTGCAGAACCTCTTTGATCACCCTCTGAAGTTCTCGTGGCAGTGCAGCACGGGCGAAGCTAACCAAACAGGAGCCACTTACTTCTACGACCACAGTAAAAGTTCTTACCTGAGGGGCTAAAACTTGGTCCAATTGTTCTTCAGAAGGAGGTACGGCACGGAAGTGCCCATCACGGCCGAGGACTATTGCAACAACTGGTTCATGATCCCGATCAATCTCAATCTGGACCCTGTCACAGACAACGCAAAAGCACGAGGCAATCTCACAATCGAATATCATTTCACGGCAGTGGCGGACAGTCCTATTGCGCTCCCCTCCGACACCACCACGTCAATCAAAGTGAACTTTCTGTGCCTCGATCAGTATGTGTACACGATGTCGAAAGAGAAAGGTATCAGCTGGAGTGTCGTCTGAGTTATACTGTAATTATCACATCAGAACTAATTATGCTAACATAATTACATTTGAAGTGTGAAGTTTTTGTTATAGTATAATAATGCTAGCATAATTACAGAAGCAACATGGAAGGTGGTAATCTGAAAACGAGCAACCGCCGTTATCTCGGGGGTGATCTAAAAACGAGCAACCGCCGTTATCAGAGTCTCTGGGCTGAGCGGGCTGAAAACGAGTGGTATCATATGAGCAGCAGTAAACTGGAAGAGGCTTGGGTTTGGAGATTCAATGTCTTCTGGCGGGGTGATGGCACCTCTCTTCTCAGAAACTATATCAAGATCCCGCTGGCAGTCTCGAACCAACATGGCACGTTCGGATACAATTGGAGACGTACCTATAGGTTGTATTATCTTGAGTTCCCCTGATACATATCGTATCAGCATGGCGTTAGATTTGTGTATGACTCAAGCAGATGAGATTTGGCTCCAAGCAAGGAAACCTCCTGTGGCGGATTTAACGCGCTTCCGCTGCCAATACGATGCCAAGCAAGATCCACCGAGCTCGATCTCTGTATGGGAATACGCTTTTGACCGCCCCACTCGTACGCAGCTGGAGACCGTTCTCACCCAAGCTCAGGCCGCCAAGCGGGTTGAGTATTATTGTTCCGATGGCGCTGCGAGGAGGGTGAGACGCCATCCTACACGTATTTCTCTGCAGGCGGAGAAGGGGGCCGGCGGATGGTCTCGCTTGGCCCGGTTCTCAGCGCGAGTCGAGTGCTTCGCATGGGGATCGCGGCTGCTGTAAACAATGTTGCGACAGTCCGGCTGAAGGTGAACGATGTCGAGAAGACAACTTTCGAAGTGTGCAAGCCATGTGGGCAGTTTTCAGCCATCACAGTTTTCGACTCTGCATTAGAGACGCGGGGGCCGTTATTTAGTTTTCTTCAACAGACATTACCGTTGGTTTTATAGTGACATTGCTATTGGAGCAGTATGACCTCGTTTGAGCCCTCCGCGCCCCCTTCTTCAGCTCCGGTGTCGACGGCGCCTCTCTATACTACGCTGCCTACTGCGAGCGATGCCGGAAATACGTACCGATTACAGAAGACTTCAGAGGTTGAAGCTTGCTTGCACACGGAAATGGAAGCCCGCCAAACACTCTACAAAAAGTACATAAGAGCTGTGAAGTACAGCGCGAGCAAAGCCCTATCTACTATCACTGTGGGTAGTGCTGTTAGCGGCGTGGCCGTACTCAGTACCGTCGTCTTAATTCTTGTCAGGATCTCTCTCGAAGGCCTAGCAGCTGTTTGCGGCACGACCGCTATTGCTGGTTTGGTCGTGAGCCACAGATTGGCCAAGAAAGCTGAAAAACACGATTGCATTCGGATATCCGCTGAGATCGTGCTCCGAACAATTTCGCTGATCACGAGCCAAGCGCTTCGAGATGGAAACTGCAGCGAAAGTGAGTACACTTTGTGCGCCATTGACAGTGTTGCATCATCTTGGTGTGACAGTTTTCATCACCCCATGCCAGGGGCTACCGATCGAAGCTGTGATCATAATAAATAACAGCGGTGAACATCTCTTTTGTTCGCGAGGGAAACCAATATTTGAATAAGATTGTGTATGAAATAGTGTCGCTGGTATGAAGTGTTTGGCATGTCAAACTGGCGCTATGAGCGTCATGAATCTAGCCGAGCATTTCAATGGCCGGCGGCATAATCGTGCGTTGTTGGCTGGCAAAGCTATGAATTTCGTTTGCCACTTGTGTGACGACAGCGGCGGGGATGTGGAATGGCTATGTAAGCATGTCGAGTCGCCTTGGCACCGAGAAAAGCTAGTTGAGGAGCTTATGAGATCTAGGGGGTGGCCTCATCGCTTCCTCCGGGCTGCTCCCGAGGAACTGCAACGGCAAGTTGTGCTTGCGAGGGAGCGAGTAGATACCCACCTCCGCATGTTGGACTGGGTCTTCGAGGGGAACTCTCTCGACTTGTACTAACTAACTATCACATCAGAACTAATTATCACATCAGAACTAATAGACCCCGACGGCCGGCCGCCCGTCTTTTGGCTCCTGCCGTTGTCCTGGGTTTGACATTCGCTGTCTTGTGATTTTTGTGCCGATATATGTGCTTACTATGTGCTTAGATTTGCGTATACTAGGTCTTAAGGTGTGATGTGCGCCAGAACCGGTGCGATTTTTTGTCGGGACCAATGTATACACAGTTTTTTTTTTGTACTGTGTAAACGAACTAGGGCTGGGGCGCTCAGATTGATGTACGAAATCTCCCAGACCGGGGTTGCGCCAGAATCGGTAGTCTCTATACTACTTAATTATGCTTCCTTGTTATAACTTTGTAGAGGGCAAGGTGTTGAAATGGTCGCTTTGACTTTCTGCCTTTTAAACTATATTGGGACCATAAATAATTTGATATATATATATATATATATATATAGTAAGAGCTTATAATTTCATTGCTAACAAGTACGTAAATGCTTGTTCTTTGGTAAATTCGAACGTTTCAACGTAGGGTATGGGTTGTAAATATGTTTATGTTAACGAAAAACGAAAATAGAATCTCTTACGCTTTCGTTTTATTCTAAATTACATAAATTCAAATCAGTTAAGGTGTAAATATGAGGTAGATTTACTACAAAGAGTAACGAGTGCCGGAATGCAAAACGCACTTGTACAAACGTCGTAATATTTCATGTTGCAAAATGCATGCCAACATTCCAAACTTACGATAGAGTAACCATTCGATGAATCCAATAATGATTCATGAGGCGTTTTTGTGAAGAGACCGTTCATTTTAAGAAACATACAAGTCTACGCCAAAAAGAGTGTATTCGTTTTAGTGTACCGAGAAAATAACAAAATTCACAATTAAAATAGTTTTTATCGATTTCTTCATCCCCTTGTTGACCATGAACAATATATGCTTCAAGCACCTTCATTATTTGTTAATGTTTAAATCAGTAAAGTCGAACTTTGTCGATGTAGCGAGTGTAATTATTTATTTAGAAACCTAATAGTTTTACTCTGTGGATTTTTTTGCAACTCACAAATGCCTTGATGTAACAGCTTCAAAATGTCATTCAATTACGAAAAAACTTGGTATATCTTTTATACTTCCATGCATCTCAATGCAAATGCACACGTAAACAAACAGTAAAATACTACAATTATATAAAACATAAAAAGTAAATAAGTAAAGATTTTTCTGTCTATAAAAGTCCTTGACTCTTGACTCTTGATTTTTCTGTCTAAAAAAAGTTCTTGCAAAATCATTATTGCTGATTCGTTAATATTAATATTAACAAATAAAGCCGTAGCTAGAGCTAAATGCTTCACAAAACTCGGTGGTTTTCAAAGAAAAACCTTGGTCTTTTTTTACATAAAATAAAATTTTGACGAAGCGACAACGACAACAAACTTCCTTGTGCCAATCCAGAACACGGTCAAACTTCAAACTTGTACTTGAATTAAGTCGCACTGTATATTAATACACACTTACTAAAGCTCACTATTGACGCTAGAACATCACATTAAACACTACTGAAAAGTGTATAATTAACAAATAGAACTTGCTGAGGTAATTGCGTCAAAACAGTAGTGTGGGAATAAACAAAGATGTACCAGATTACTATTTTCTTTTTTACCCGTACAAGAATAAAGACCAAATAGGAATGATGGCGCACAACGTTTACTAACGTAAATTTTTGAATATTTTAGGTTTGCGACTTTTTAAATAATAAAAAACTTACGTTATGGGTAGAACAAGTTATTTAATTCAATTTGACATCAAAATGCTTCCTATGGCCATGAAATATCGGCGTTTGTGTCCATTTGAAAACTGTCTTTGCACGAATCTAATCGCTCTTTACTTTTCTAAAACCTATAGAAGCTATATAACCTCTCTATAATAAGATATGAGGGTTAACTGAGTCAATGGGCCGAGTTTTTGTCACTTAAGCTTTATTTGGTTTTATAACTGTTTCAGAATTGTCAAGGCTTGTAATAGACGGTCGAAAAAAATCACATGTTCCTGAACATGTAGATGTAGCTACGACTTTGAACAATCTTGGTAATGTGAATTATGATATCAACAAATTAGTCAAAGCCAAAGAGTGTAATAAAAAAGCTTTGGAAATTCAACTTAAATCACTTGGTCGTAAACATGTTGATATGGCTAAGACTTTAAACGATCTTGGTAATGTGCATCTTTGTACTAAAGAATATGAGAAAGCAAAAGAATTTTTTGAAAAATCGCTGGAAATTCGACAAAAATCACTTGGTTTCGAACATATTGATGTGGCAAAGACTTTTAGCAATCTTGGCAATGTGTATTATTGTACTAAAGAATATGAGAAAGCAAAAGAATTTCACGAAAAAGAGTTGGAAATTCGACAAAAATCACTTGGTCCTGAACATGTTGATGTAGCTACGACTTTAAACGATCTTGGCAATGTGTATTATTGTACTAAAGAATATGAGAAAGCAAAAAAATTTCACGAAAAAGCGTTGGAAATTCAACAAAATTCACTTGCTCCTGAACATGTTGATGTAGCTACGACTTTAAACGATCTTGGCAATGTGTACAATTGTACTAAAGATTATGACAAAGCAAAAGAATTTCTCGAAAAAGCGTTGGGAATTCGACAAAAATCACTTGCTCCTGAACATGTTGATGTAGCTACGACTTTAAACGATCTTGGCATTGTGTACAATTGTACTAAAGATTATGACAAAGCAAAAGAATTTCTCGAAAAAGCGTTGGGAATTCGACAAAAATCACTTGGTCTCAAACATATTGATGTAGCTTCGACTTTAAACAATCTTGGTAATGTTTATCTTTGTACTAAAGAATATGACAAAGCAAAAGAATTATTTGAAAAAGCGCTGGAAATTCGACAACAATCACTAGGTTTTGAACATGTTGATGTGGCTACGACATTAAGCAATCTTGGCAATGTGTATTATCGTACTAACGAACATGACAAAGCAAAAGAATTTCACGAAAAAGCGTTGGAAATTCAAAAAAAATCACTTGCTCCTGAACATACTGATGTAGCTACGACTTTAAATAATCTTGGTAATGTGTATTATGAGACCAACAAATATGCCAAAGCCAAAGAGTGTTATGAAAAAGCGTTGAAAATTCGACGAAAATCACTTGGTCTTGAACATGTTGATGTGTCTTGGACATTAAACGATATCGGTAATGTGTATCTTTGTACTGAAGTATATGCCAAAGCCAAAGAGTGTTATGAAAAAGCGTTGGAAATTCAACAAAAATCACTTGGTCTTGAACATGTTGATGTGGCTTCGACTTTAAATAATCTTGGTAATGTGTATTATTGTACTGAAGTATATGCCAAAGCCAAAGAGTGTTATAAAAAAGCGTTGGAGATTCGACAAAAATCACTTGGTCCTGAACATGTTGATGTAGCTTCGACTTTAAACAATCTTGGCAATATGTACCATCGTACTAAAGCATATGACAAGGCAAATGAAGTCTTTAAAAAAGCGTTGGAAAATCAACAAAAATCACTTGGTCCTGAACATGTTGATGTAGCTACCACTTTAAACAATCTTGGTAATGTGTATTATGAGACCAACAAATATGTCAAAGCCAAAGAGTGCTATGAGAAAGCGCTGGAAATTCAACAAACATCACTGGGTTGTGAACATACTGATGTAGCTACGACTTTAAACTTTCGTGGGAAGGTGTACCATCGTACTAAAGAATATGGCAAAGCAAAAGAATTTCACGAAAAAGCATTGGAAATTCAAAAAAAATTACTAGGTCCTAAACATGTTGATGTAGCTATGACTTTAAACATTCTTGGTAATGTGCATTATGATACCAACAAATATGACAAAGCCAAAGAGTGTTATGAAAAAGCGTTGGACGTTCGAGAAAAATCACTTGGTCCTGAACATGTTGATGTAGCTACGACGTTAAACAATCTTGGTAATGTGTACTATAAGACCAAGAAATACGCCAAAGCCAATGAATGTTATGAAAAAGTGCTTGAAATTCGACAAAAATCACTAGGTCCTGAACATGTTGATGTTTCTACGACATTAAACTGCCTTGGTAATGTGTATTATGATATCAACAAATATGCCAAAGCCAAAGAGTGTTATGAAAAAGCTTTGGAAGTTCGACAAAAATCACTTGGTCCTGAACATGTTGATGTAGCTACGACATTAAATAATCTTGGTAATGTGTATTATGATACCAACAAATATGACAAAGCCAAAGAGTGTTATGAAAAAGCTTTGGACGTTCGAGAAAAATCACTTGGTCCTGAACATGTTGATGTAGCTACGACGTTAAACAATCTTGGTAATGTGCATTTTTGTACTGAAGTATATGCCAAAGCCAAAGAGTGTTATGAAAAAGCGTTGGAAATTCAACAAAAATCGCTTCGTCCTGAACATGTTGATGTAGCTTGGACTTTAAACTGTCTTGGTAATTCGTATTATCGTACTAAAGATTATGCCAAAGCCAAAGAGTGTTATGAAAAAGCGTTGGAAATTCGGCAAAAATCACTTGGTCCTGAACATGTTGACGTGGCTACGACTTTAAACATTCTTGGTAATGTGTATTATGATACCAACAAATTTGCCAAAGCCAAAGAGTGTTATGAAAAAGCTTTGGAAATTCAACGAAAAGCGTTAAGTCCTGAACATGTTGATGTCGCTTCGACATTAAACTATCTTGGCAATGTGTATTTTAAGACCAAAAAATATGCTAAAGCCAAAGAATATTATAAAAAAGCGTTGGAAATTCGACAAAAATCACTTGGTCCTGAACATGTTGATGTAGCTACGACTTTAAACAATCTTGTTAATGTGTATTATGAGACCAACAAATATGCGAAAGCCAAAGAGTGTTCTGAGAAAGTGCTAGAAATTCGACAAAAATCACTAGGTCCTGAACATGTTGACGTGGCTACGACATTTAACATTCTTGGTATTGTTCATTATGATACCAAAAAATATGCCAAAGCCAAAGAGTGTTATGAAAAAGCGTTGGAAATTCGAAAAAAATCACTTGGTCCTGAACATGTTGATGTAGCTACCACTTTAAAAAATCTTGGCAAGTTGTACCATCGTACTAAAGAATATGAGAAATCAAAAGAATTTCATGAAAAAGCGTTGGAAATTCGACAAAAATCACTTGGTCCTGAACATGTCGATGTAGCCGTGACTTTCAACGATCTTGGCAATGTGTATTATGATACAAATAAATATGCAAAAGCCAAAGATTGTTATGAAAAAGCGTTGGAAATTCAGCAAAAATCATTAGGTCCTGAACATGTTGATGTAGCTACGACTTTAAACAATCTCGGCAACGTGCACTATGGTACTAAAGAATATGGCAAAGCAACAGAATTTTTTGAAAAAGCGCTGGAAATTCGACAAAAATCATTAGGTCCTGAAAATGTTGACGTGGCTACGACTTTAAACATTCTTGGTATTGTTCATTATGATACCAACAAATATACCAAAGCTAAAGAGTGTTATGAAAAAGCGTTGGAAATTCGACAAAAATCACTTGGTCCTGAACATGTTGATGTAGCTACGACTTTTACCAATCTTGGTAATGTGTATCATCGTACTAAAGAATATGACAAAGCAATAGAATTTCACGAAAAGGCGTTGAAAATTCAAAAAATATCACTAGGTCCTGATCATGTCAATGTCGCTACGACTTTTAACAATCTTGGTAATGTGTATCTTTGTACTAAAGAATATGACAAAGCAAAAGAATTTCAAGAAAAAGCATTGGAAATTCAGCAAAAATCACTTGAACCTGAACATGTAGATGTAGCTACGACTTTTAACAATCCTGGCAATGAGTACCATCGTACTAAAGAATGTGACCAAGCAAAAGATATTTATGAAAAAGCCCTGGCAATTCAAACAAAATCAGTTGCTTCGGATCATGTTGTTGTTACTGAGTCATTGAACAGTATTGGTATGTTATTCTTTATTTTTTACATCATAGCAAATATAAGCGTTTTCAAGTGTAACTTTTGAGGTTTTTGAAATTGCAGGTAAAATTTTTTTATGTCTTTTGTGTTTACAAATCATGAATTCTTCTTGTATTATGTTCGGCTAAATCTGAATAGAGAAAAGCAATTTAAGCAATATTTATAAAGTTAGTTAAAGCTGTTTCTGGTGAAATTGGGATTCATTTGGAGTAATGATGTTATTTTAGGCCGTTTAACCATCCTAGCATTTATTTAGTTAAGTTCTCTTATATATAGTTTATTTGTAGAGCTATCTTAAAATGGATAAAAAAGATCTGTTTCTTAAAGGTTGATGCAAATTAAGATCAATGTATTGCACTTCAATACATATTTAGGAGCGAAAATATTTTAAATCTCCTTAACATATAAGAAAACTAACCTAAATTAAACTACAAAGAAACGACGACACATGCAATTAAAATTTGTTTTTGGTAAACTTTTCCTTATTTTCTTTCAATCTTATGCTTTATTATTGGTTTGTAATTTACGGCTAGAAACTTCTGAGAGCCTTTTCATCCTAAATCTTTCTAATCTGATATACCTAAATACAATTTGTTTGACTTTGTCCTGATTCAGCTATTTTTATTTTTTGAATTGCCTGTTTTTACTTAATATAAACGTATGCTTTAAAAAATCTTAAGTACTCTGTTTAAAATTGTGCTTGGTTTTTAGCATAGCTACAAGGATGGGGCAAGTTATTTTTATTACAAATAGTGTTTTTTGGTTCTATATATGACGAATTGAAAAATTTCCTACTAATTTCGTTTAATTTTAGTTCTTAAAATTTGAAAAACTAAAAAAAAACTTAATTAAAAATTAGGACATAAATAAAGTTTTACGTTTTTTTAGATTTTTATTTTAAATATTTTAAGAAAAATACCAGATTTACAATACTTGGATTTTAAAAATGTTATTTATTTTTTTAAAAACCAAGATTGATATATATCTTTGTTCTTGGAAAGAACGTGCAGCTAAATTCTAATAATTTAGTTCATGAAATGATTCTTGGTTTTTTCTTTTTTTTTAATCCAGTAAACTTTATAAACTCCACTTAACTCAGTATTTCTCTAGAAACATACTTATTATAAAAAGCAGCATTCTATTTTATGGTATGGTTCACTTGCTCTTCTTTTATATCTGTTTTAAAGAAATAAAATCTGATGATACTGCTGATGCTATATCTCGTTTAAATCTACACGTTCATACGGAGAAAATAGAAGGTATGCTTTTTTTATTGGAAGGTAAATATACAAAACTTAGAGCTTTATTAGATGAACTTTTTAATAGTCAAAAAGAGAGGAAATCATGAAAATACTTGGAATCTATTTCAAGTTGATTTCATTATTTCTTCAAATATTCTTTCACTTTTGTTTGTAAATATTGTTCATTGTTATAAAACTAAGAGGTTAGAACATTTTGCAATCACAGATAACGCGAAACGTTACAAATTTTGGTGTTATTTTTAGGTTGTAGTAATTCAAATAGCACATGTTACTTTTGTGACATTAAAATAGTTTAAAAAACCAGCATTGTTATAACAAATTTTATACGCAAAACCTCAAACGTAAAGCACATCCAGGAGTCTCACTATATTTCTTTCCAAAAATTGTACAGTTCTCTAGGGAAAACTATGGAGGAAAAAAACGAAAATTAGTTAACTTGTAATTCTTCATTGACAATTTTACTATCATAACTATTTTAAATCAAATTTTAAAATAAATATTTTTACTACATGAATAACCTATCCCCCAAAAAACTCTTAGCTCAAACCAAGTAGTTTTCCTCATCAAGTGAAATTCAAATCTTAGAACATGTTTAAGTTATATTCAATATGCGGCAATTTTTTTCTCAACGCACTATATCAAACGCCTAACAAATTAAAAAACAATATAAAAATTTAGAAGACATAAAGCTTGTGAGCAACATACTTCCTTGCATAATTTTGATCTTAAGACAATAAACACTGGCAACATTTATGCTTGAAACAATTTAGTTTAACCAACTTTTTCATATCTGCACTATGTTGCTTTATTTGCCGTTTTTTACGTGTGAAATATGTGAAGCCCCTTGGAAGCAGTTAATTTTTAATTTGAACAAATTTTCTTAAGGCAAAATTTTATTGTACGTCTTTCTTGCCTTGAGTGAGGAACGAACGAGTAGCTTAAAAAGAATATAAATTCAGCATGCAGTATTTAACACAAACCATTTACGAAGATGCACGGGTGTGATTGTTGTTGTATTATATAGATATATGAAAAGGCATGTTATGCCTTCGCTAATCATGATGACGAGTAGAATTAAAATATATGACTTCAATTTAAAGTATATCTTGCTTAATTTTTTAACTCCAACCCTTCATCAGCTACGTCACTACGTAGAAACATGATATTTTTAAATTTGCAGAAATTGTTATAGTATGAAACCTATTGTAAAAGGCATATTTTTACATTATTTCGTATACACGTAAACAAAAACTGACCCAAATTAACAGAAAGTTTCTTGTTCAGATACACGCACAGATCAAGGGTGTTTTAGTTTGTTTCCAGCAGTGAATACGTTTTTCGTGATTTGGTACCAGTTCTCTATAAAACCTATAAGTGGTTTAGCATCTTTGCCCCCATTTAAAGAAACAGAAACATAACCAGTTTATGTGTATGTTGTTTCAGTTAGAGTTCTGACGTTAGGGTTACTAAATTATGGCAGCCAGTACCTTTATAACATTGCATATTACTTTACAATTCAGCAAAGCTGGTTTAATTTCTGTCTTTTTGCGCAGATTCTTTTCCACTTAGCAAAATATATATGGTATGCGATATGAAATATATATGGCACACCTTATTTTATGCAATAAGGTTTTTGTAATGCTTTGCAAAATTAGTGGCATTTATGAAATAGTGAAATTGCCATAGATGATCAATTTTTCATTGGGTTAATTCTAAATATAGGTTGCTGACAAATTAGGTTGCTGCACGATAATTTCTCAATGTAGTATGATTAGAATATGTTTAGTTGTGGGATAAAATTATCAATACGAAGAGTTAAGAGACTCTACAGAGAACAGACAGGAGTAAATGCCTGTTCTTTAAAGAGCGAAGGAGATTTTCTCGCTGCAACGTCCATAACGACACTTTATGCAAACATGAATATATGTTTACACCATCAAACCTATCGAGTCAAATCTTAGAGCATGTATGCCTTACCTTCTTTATGTTAAAATATTTTTTATTAACTCGCAAGCATTATTGAAAATGCAAAAATTTATAAGAAATATAAAAACTCAAGAGACATAAATCTTGGGGACGAAATATTTCGGTGCATAATTTTGATCCTAAAATCAAATAAAACAGGGATGACAACATTGACGTGTGAAGCAATTTATTTTACCAACTTTCCCATCTATGTACTAGGTTGCACTTCATGTTTTATATGCGTGAAATGTGTTAAGGTTATTGATGTTAATTTGAAAACTGAACAAGACTTATCTTAAGTCATAGGTTAATTTTAATTCTTTCTTGTTATGAATCAGAAACGAAACAGCCATGGGCCAACTTCGAAAAGTGTGATTTTTTCATGCGTCCATCGAAGAACCAAAAATTTTTTACCATCATGTTGCTTTATTAGTACTTATGAACTTAAGGATATATGTCAATTGTTTAACTTGCACTTAAAAGAGAAAAATCGATTATTTTATCTTGAATATATGATCAGATCAGAGAAAGGTGAAATCAATGATTTGTTTATACGTCTTCAACGCAAAGAGAGTCTTTCTCTCAACCAATTAGGTAGCGTTAGGGTGAAAAGTCTTTCACTACACTTGATAAACAATGGTGAAAAACAAAGCTTGCTGAAGGTGCTCACTCGGATGACGAGTTTTTCGCGTTATACATATCAAATATTATGCTAAGTAAAAATTAACATTATTTGCCCTTGGCTCCTTGGTGTATATTTACTTTTTATACTTTTAAATGGAGAAAACTTTCATGTATAATAAGGCGAAATGACGTTGGAATCCGTGTTAAATTCTGAGGATAATTTATGATCTTTACGTTAACAATTTGTCTTTCGTTGAAAATTTTTTCTCTTCAGAGCTCTTTTTTTGTACTAATATCTGCGCTCTGCAAATTCCATTACGATTGTTGAATCGGTTTTGCATTGTTCAAATGCTAGGAAGAGAACAGAATAGGCAAATAGGCAATTGAGAGAGAAAAAAAAGACGCTTAACATATTGCTTATTTTAATTACCTGTCTGATGTTGTCTTGTCTGAAGACGAAACGTTACAAATAATAAATGATTTCTTTAAAAAATGGCTTTATTTCGAACTTAATGTTGGGCAATCATCAGTGTTGACTGATAACTTATAACTACGTACCGTATGCAGTTTAAATGATGCAAAAAATTACGAATCAATTTCACCGTAACGAAACGGACTTTGTTAAAATTTCCAATGTAGATCACCCAAATTTGGTTCTAGCATTTTAACACATCACTACTGAAAGCACCATTATATTGTTATCCATAGTTGTACTTAAATCAACATGACAAACCTTTGATGTATTTTAACAACTGTCATGCTATGTATATCTATATAGTTGATGTAAGATGTCCCGCGTTTTCTTCTAAAGTAAAAAATGCTATTAACTTGCTTTTATATGTGCGTCTTTTGCAGAAATTTACCAAATTCTGCTAGAGATTGCCCAAGAAATTCCTGATATATGGAAGAATTTGGCAATATTTCTGAATGTCAGAGATGCGAGAATAAAAGAAATTGAACTAGAAAATCGTAAAGTGGTCTGGAAAGGGTTTGAAATGCTAAAGTTATGGTTTGAATTACGAGAAAATAAGCAGTTGTGGTACGAAGAACTTGCCGCTGCTCTTCGCAAGATCGAGAAAAATAATTTGGCGAAAGACGTTGCTCATAAAGGTGCAAATGTGGCTTAATATTGTTAAACTAAAATTAAAAAGTCATTTGTCCATTTTTTATAATCGCTATTTTTATGTAAAACTCAGAAGCCAACATTGGATTGGCTATGTTGATTTACGCTTTAATAATATACATGAAAAAACTTCTCAGTTCTCATTGGTTAATTAAGAGCAGTGCAATCTATTGTGAATACCAGAGGGAAAAAAGAAGAAACACGGTGCAGAAAAAAGAAATACAGTGCAATTTTTTTAAAAAAAATTGCTCCGGATTGGTTAATCAAACAATGAAGTGATCTAAGAGACAATCAAAATAAAACGTTTCAAAGGCGTGAAAATTAAAGTAAGCAAAGCAAATGCAATGGCTGGCGCAAGTTTACGTAAATTTTCTATGGTGAACGAGCTTACACTTCACCTTTTGCAAGACGTGTTTGAAAAAAATATGAACACTGCCAAAAGTAGTCACCTTGTTCTAGCTGCGTGTTTGAAAGCTATAGTGTTATAAAAAATAATATCCAATGAAATTGTAATATACGAGGCAGCCAGAATTGAGAAATTTTTTCATGTATATCAAGCCCTTAATAACTGAGCTCAAGTCTTTACGGAGAAATATCGGACCTAGTTCTTTTTGCACCAACCAAGCCCGTAGTAAAGTAAAGATCGTGAAAGCGAGGTTATTAAAATTTTTATTATAAACGGCATTATTTGACCTGACACAAAGCTTGCTTTCGATCTCGTCCTTGCTGTTTTGTAAGGGTTGGCTTTCACTATTCTAGTTTTTGTCAGTAAAAATAAGTCATTTTTAGTTTTGTATCGTCTGCATAATTAAACTCTTTTTCGAGAGTTTTTCGTTTTACTCATATTCGTTAATGGGTTTTTTTTTCGGGTTTTTTCGAGAAGTTTGTTTACGTTTTACATTTGACTATAAAATTACGCATTGTGGACTGTGTAATATTCTTTATTTTTCTTGATACGTCTCTGACTCTGTCAGTCAGACTACTACTTATGTACACGACTATGAGTTTCTTATATAGATAAGAATTAGCATAGATGTATATTAATCATGTTTCATTTCAATATATTACAACTTCCTTTTTTAAAACTAGTATCCTTGTATTTTTCTGTCTGATTTTTCTAATAATTTCTTTCTAGTTTAAATAAACGATTAACTAACTATTCCCTATGTAATGTAACTAATGTTTTGATTTTATAAATGTCTATATTAAAGGTTAAACATAGTCTTTTCATTATATTGGCTTACTTACGATACATCCTGATCTTGTCTTCATTGGTGATAAAGTCGTTCCAGCTAAACATATCGATTGCTCATCTTTTACTCTTGTTTTTTAAAGTTGGGTTTGTTCTTTTGTGTCTGCTTCATTTTTCTTTGATTGAAAACGAAGGGGAGGCTGCAAATTTTGATCATTAGTTTTCTTCAAATGTCTTTTATTTCGTCGATATTCTGCACCTCAGATGTTTTCACATTATAACTTCTTGGCGTGTCCGCTTTGATTATGACAACGGCTGGTTTTCATTTCCCTTCTCTTTCAACACAAATATTTTCACCTTCTCTCAAGTTTTCGACGGATTTCGACGATCTATCGTAGTATTCTTTCTGTTGTTTTTGCTTCTTTTCCAATTTTACTTGAATGATCTCAGGATTCACTGTTTTTGGAATACGTTGTTTAGTCGAGGATAGCCTATTTCATCGAAGTCTTCATCCAATGCTTAGTTGTGCTGGTGATCCAATGTCATCAATTGGTGTATTTCTTTGCTCTAATATGGCTAAATTTAAATCTCGATTATCTCTTCGAGCTTTCGTCAGAGTGAACTTTGCCATTTGTACCGTTTTCTCCACTAAGCCGTCTGATTGCAAATAACCTGGGCTGGACGTTATGTGTTCAAACCCCACGTTTTGGCAAATGCGGCAAACTCTCTTGAAGAGTACTGTAGACCATTGTCGGATTTAACGTTTTCTGGAATTCCATGTCGTGCGAAGAGTGTTTTCATTTTATCTATTCTTGCAAGACTCTTCGTGTTGGTAGTTTTAAATATCTCCCAGAATCTACTGTAATAGTCCACAACCAGAAGGTAATCATCATTATTCCAATAGAACATGTCTGTTGCCACAATCTGCCATTAATATTTAGTTATTGTATGTGGTAACATAGGCTTTTTCGATTGCTGCATCTATATTCAGCACAAATTGAGCAATTTTCAACAACTGCCTGAATATCTTTATTTATACCTGGCCAGTATGCAAGCTCAAGAGCACGCTGTTTACTTTTTTCAGCGCCCATGTGGCTTTGATGAATTTTATTTAAAACACTTCCTCGCAGTGAGGGTAGAATGAAAATCTTTTCTCCTTTGGGCACCACGCCTTCAATTACTGTCAGTTCTTCTCTGTTGCTCCATAATGGTTTTAAGAAGCTTGAAAGATTTTTCTTATCATTTGGCCAACCTTCAGTAATCACTCTCACTAGATCTTTCATCATATAGTCCTTCCTTGTTTCTTCAGTGATATCTCTTCGTTTGCCGTCAGACAATTGTAGCATTGAGATCATAGCAATCGTTTGATAATGCAAATCAAGTGTTTCTTCCTCTGATTTAAAATTTGACAAATGGGCTCTGGACAACGTATCTGCTATGTATAATTCAGTTCCCGGTTTATATTTTACCTCAGTATCAAACCGCTGTAAAATCAGTAGCATTCTTTGCAAGCGAAGTGATGATTAATCCAACAATTTCTTGCTGATTGTTTTCAGTGGCTGATGATCCGATTCAACTATGACATGCTGGTTATAAATGCACTGATAGAAGCGATTACGCTCAAAAACAACCGCTAGCAATTCTTTTTCTATCTGTGCATATCTTGTTTTTGCTTGTGTCAAAGATCTTGAAGCGTATGCTACTGGTCTATTTCATTGAATAAGTACTGCTCCTAGTCCCGATTTCGACGCGTCTACTTGAAGATAAACTGATTTCATTAAATCACAATATGCTAAGATGCCAGGCTGTGGACTTGAGAGTAAGGTCTTTGTCTCTTCAAAACATGAGAATGTCTTTCCGTCCAGTGCCACGCTATGTCTTTTTTTAAGTAATTTTCGTAAAGGTGAAGTGATTTCCGGTGAATTTGGTACGAATTATCAAACATAATTGACCATACCAAGAAGTCTTTGAATTCGCTTCTTGTCTTCGGGTTGTGGCATGTTCACAATTGCTTCTAGTTTCCGTGGATCTGGCTTGACACCTTTGTGTGTGAGCTGATGTCCAATATACACCACACTCTTTTTTCTAAAGTGACCTTTTTCTAATTTAAACTTTAGATTGCACTCTATAGCTCGACCCAGCGTTGCCTTGAGACGCTAATCATGTTCTTAAAGTGTTTTACACCAAACAAGAATGTCATCGATGTCTCTTTCGACTCTAGCTATATAATTAAAGATTTAATGTATTCTTTTGTGAAACACTTCTTGAGCACTTCGGATTCCAAACGGCATTCAGGTAAATCTAAATGGTGTATTGAAAGTCGTGAGCTTGGAGCTTTCTTCGTCCAGAGGTATTTGCCAATAGCCCAATTTTGCATCTAACGTCGAGAAGAAGCATGCACCTGGCATTCGAGCAATGATTTTTTCGATTGTTGGAAGCTGATGATATTTTCTTTTCAAAAGATTTATTGAGGTCTTAAAGATCTATAGAGATGCGTAAACTTCCATCTTGTTTTTGACAGTAACCATTGAATTTACCAAATCCAACGGCTCATCAACTTCTACCAAAATTCCTTGCTTAACCGTATCTTCGAGGGTTTTTGCTCGATGCTCTCGCAGAGGATGTGGAACTTTTCATGGTGGATTTATGACCGGCTGTACTTCAGGGTCCACTTCCAAGTGGTATAGTTTTAAGAGACAGCCAAGACCTGTAAATACATCTTCATATTTGGTTCGAATTTGTTCTGAATATTCATCTGTAGAAGCATATTGTGTTGACTTTGACGCGCTCTCACCGGATACTTGTGATTTTAGTCCTTGAGTAAACTTGACGAGGTTTAACTCTTTGCAGGCTACTATACTGAGTATAGGCTGACTGGGTGCATCTGATATAAAGAATTCCAAATCGTACTCTTCTTCTCGGTATTTGCAATGCAGAGTACATACTGCTTTAACGGGAACAGGCTTGCCGTTGTATGCGATGAGATTAACTGCTGGCTTTTTTAACGGTATTCTTGTAGTGCTTGCTAACGATTTATATGTTTTAACTGGGATGACGTTAACTTCTGCCGAAGGATCTAGTTTTAACTTGACTTCAGTATTGTTCACGCACAGTGTTGCAGATTCCGCTTGATTGCGTTTGATTCTTGTTTCGTTTATGGCAGCTTGTATTGTATTGAGGAATAGGAAGTGGTCGCTTACTTCTTTTTGATTAGATCCATTATTAGATCCTTTTGTCTCAATTGAGTTTAATTTTCTACTTGAGCGACACATCTTGGCGTAATGATTGAATTTCTTGCATTTATTGCATTGCCGACCAAATGCTGGACATTTTTCTTTAGGATGCTTGTTTCCACAATGCATGCATTTCTTTTCTATGCTAATTTCATCACGATTTTCCTTTTGCCTTTTATCAACGTGCTGTCTTTTGGAGAAGTTTTCTCGTCGTGGATGACGAGGCCAGTGGATAGAATTTATTTCTTTGTCGTTATTAAACAGTTTTAATTGTTGTAACGATAATTTATCCGCTTGACAGATTTCAATCGTCCGAGTGAGTTTCAATTCGGGTTCTCAAAGAAGTCTTTCCTCACTCTTTTTGAGATGATACCACTGACGGAAACAGTTTACACACTGTACAGTTCACGGTCGATACGTAATATTTATCAATAGTTCATAAAATTTTGTTGGTTTTTAAACAAAATCAATTTAGTTAACTGGAATCTGTAAATTCATTGTCCATTATGAATATAACGGTTTCATTAAAACGCTTGCTGTACTTGAAGGGTGAAGTACTTGACGGCAGTGTACGTAATCGATTTCATCTTGTTGTTTTCATCAAGGCCATTGGTCAACTCAAGAGTATGATCATCAAAGATGTTTAAATGACTTGATTTGTCGGTAAAGATGACAGACGTCCATGATTATTATACTGCGTAGGTTTTTGCTTGAGTTTATGTCATGTCCATTCTTAATTTTAGGTTCTCTTTGCATGACACCCTTGTGTCCTCAGATTTTCTTCTCAGAAGTTTCTAGTATCCCTTTGCCTGAGGAGATCTGGTATTAAGAATGTCAAATACCCTGTTGATCATTGTTGTAAATTTCATCATAGGCTGACTTTTTTAGCTTTCTTAAGTTTCATCGAAACATTCAAGAATTCAATTGTGTTTGCCATAGATGAGCTCAGAGTCTGGGCTCTGTCGTGCCATACTGATTTCTTTTAAAACTCAATTCACTTTCAAAAGAAGTCAGTAGGGCGCAACGGAATATATGGATATGCATCTCCCCAATTAACTTTCTAGTAAAGACTCTGGGCTCAGGTATATGTACTATTGCGTGACGCAAGATCAATAAAAGATCAGTAAACAGGAGTGCCACAGGCAGCCTTGGAACCTTTTTTATGCGCGATCGATTTGCGTAAATATTAATTACTTTCTTTGATTCATGTGTAATGCTTGTCACGCGCGCAATTTAGTTTGTATGTATTCAGACTGCATGGCTAGTACAGTTTTTGAATTAAATGCTGCCAATCTGCGATGCCTTTGAACATTCAAAAACATGATGAATGAGAAGGTAAGTGGCCCTGAATTAGATACGTTTTGAAAAATTTTTGCTACAAACCCTAAAAACATTGATGTTTTTCATACAATAGAAACAAATTTTAATGTTGAAAAAGCTGCAAAAATATAGTAAAAACAAACGTTATTATTGTGCCGCAGTTGTTTTCTATGTTTTGACATTTATCTATGGAATATTTACGGTTTTCTGAAAATATTTGAATTAACGGTCGGTAATTTTGTGTTGAAAGTTTCCTACCTTGTCAAAATATAAGACTGCTAAGACCATAAAAAATGGAAGTTAGACAAACATATTGCACATGAATAAGAATTGGTGTTCAATACATAAATCGATTGTATAAAAAACTCAAACGGATATCTATGACGCCTATTGGGATGCCGTAAAAGGTTGTTGACTTAAAGGAAACACTTAAAGTGACCAGGATGATTAAAGCTGAAAAACAATGTTAGGCGTTTTTGTTGTTTTAA